TGTCCATCCTGGGCCTCCTGCAGTGCCACAACGATGCCACCCGAAGGTTGCAGGAACAGCAACTCATATTCCGCTTGGGAACCCTGCAGCCCAATGGTATCAATGTGGATTTCACAAGCTTCAAAATCTCCTCTTCCCGTACCGCATCCCAAAACCAGCCCAGCTCGTCCCCGCCTCCCTAACCTCTTCTTCCTCCCGCCTCAAGCCGACCCCCATTTCCTACCTACTAACCTCATCCCGCCCCCTTGACCTGTCTGTCCTCCCTGGACTGACCTATCTCCTCCCTACCTCCCCACCTACACTCACCTTTACTGGCTCCATCCCCGCCTCTTTGACCTGTTTGTTTCCTCTCCATCTATCTTCTCCTCTATTCATCTTCTATCCGCCTCCCCCTCTCTCCCTATTTATTTCAGAATTCCCTTCCCCTCCCCCATTTCTGATGAAGGGTCTCGGCCGGAAACGTCAGCCTTCCTGCTCCTATGCTGCTGCTTGGCCTGCTGTGTTCATCCAGCTCTGCATCAATCCAGCTGAGATCAGCTAACTCAGCAAAGACCAGGGCATTCCCTATTCTGTGAGGTTCAATTTAATGTCATGCATTCACTTTTACAAATGGAACCAACAAGATGATTTTATTAATTGGAGCTTGTTTTGGATTACTCTGCAAGTTTTAGCAAATGAAAGAACACAGCAGCCAACTGCAATGTTAATTGTAGCAGAAAATGCAGTGTGCAGGGAACAAAGCAATCATTACTCAGTCCTCAAATAATTCAAAACATAGAAAACTTTCATCTCACCCCTGTATATGAATGAGTACCATCATCAACGTCCACTGCCTCCTTTTTTTGACAGAACCATGATAAGATATCACACAAGATCTGACCTTAATTGGGTTCATCTTAATTATGTGCACTGAATATTGTTTCAGAAAAATTCATATGATATTAATGAGTCATTGATGAGTTTGGAAAATGATGTCTTTGCTTGTGTTTAAGGGATTTTCACTGTAAATTGGGCCAAAGGTCAATTCTTATATTCAAAAGACGGACATCTTTGAAAAAAGTTTGAAGTGTCAATATAAGATAATAAGGTGTGGAGCTGGATGAACACAGCAGGCCAAGCAGCATCATAGGAGCAGGAAGGCTGACGTTTCGGGCCTTGACCCTTCATCAGAAATTTTTCTTTTGTATTGATGCCAAAGATCTTTTATAACATGCATTGATAAAAATATATATCCAATTTCTTGTCATTAATTGTATCCCAATACGTAAAATTGCATATTAGATTGGCTACTTCTTTTCGATTGTCATAAATGATTCCAGTATATGATTGGAGGATATTGTTTGGATAAAGTTGGAGAGATAGTGGAAGGGTTTGGGAAGAGAATCTTGGAGCTAATATGCTGAGCAGGCACACAAACTAGATTATAATAATTGTTTCATTTAATACCTGAATATAACAAATGTCATAATAATCAAAAATATGCATATCGTTCATGATATAACTGTTTGTAACTGTTTACTTTGGTCACAGAGTACTTCACCCATCATTGGACCATCCCATAGCTAAGATGTCCCAATCTTCACCAGCAGATGAAGGCCCTACGTTTGAACATCTCTGGAGTAGTTTGTAAGTCTGTAATTCTGTTTCTTTCTGCAAATGGCAGTATTATGTTTAACCCCATAAATCAGGCAAATTTAGGTCCAGTTGGGAGGATTAAAGTGTTGCAAGTCTGAATTCTGACATCACACCTCTGCTTCCCATTTTAATGGAAGCCATGATGTGGAGGTGCCGGTGTTGTACTGGGTGGACAAGGTTAGAAGTCACATGACACCAGGTTATCTTCCAGCAGGTTTGTTTCAAATCACAAGCTTTCGAAATGCTGCTCCTTTGTCAGGTGAAATGGAGGCACACGTAAGTTGGGCAGCCAACCCACTCTAAGGAAGTGGGTTGTCTGTTTGAATATTAATAATGGATGGAATCGGACAGTAGAATGAAGCAACATGGGCTATTCTGAGACATGTGACAGAATTGGGCAAGAAATCTGGGGAGGAGTGTCTTGATGTCAGGAGAATGCTGCATCATTTATGCATTTAATGAGCGGCAAGACAAAGTTCTCACTAGGAGCAGCAAGATGCCGATTAAAACTTGCCCATTAAAAAATGCTTTATTAACACTGCAACTCACCAACATTCAGCCTCCTATTTTCCCAAACATGCCAAACAAGCTGGGGTCGAGGATTCCTGAAATGGAAGTGAGTGGGTAACTGGTGAGTTCAGCTCGCCAGTGGATGCGAGGATCCTTCTTTTTGCTCAGCACCAAACAGCACCTCAAGGTACGATCCATGGTTACGAGCTGCGCACCCCTCTGCCCATGGACATTGGCATCTGACATTTACCACCCCCTCATAAACATCATGACATCATGATCCAGTTGCAGACTGCTTAGGAAGCACAGGCTTCCTTTGAAGTGTGCACTGGCAAATAGCAAAAAAAAACTGCAGCAGGAACACTTTGCATGCAGAGACAGGCACCCAGCTCACACATTGGACTAAGCTACATCTCAGACCTGCTCGTCTCCTTCGGTCCACCTGTGTTCTCACAGCATGCCATGCCTGTTAACGCTTTGGCCCTTCAGCCAGAGTCAAAAGCTATTAGCACTGCCAAATTGATGTGTTCTTTTGCACTGAACAACTGCTTGTCAGTAGGGATCTGTCCAGGGGTGCAGGACATCTAGTTTTAATGCATACTGAGTCATAATCAGTCTAACACTTACAGCATGTGCCAGCTCTCTGCAGCAAACAAATTGCAAACTTATTCAACTGAATGCCCATAAAAGAAATCGGGTGGGACCAGTCCTCAGTCCAGTCAGGGTTAGTGTGCTTTTGCTCAAGTGTTTCTGATATCATCAGTCAGGGAAACACTGCAGGGGCTTGGCTACAATCAGTTGTCGGTTTGAAATGCTGACAGTCAGGGTAATCTGTCTGACTGCAGGCCAGGACATAGCAACAGTTTGTTCTATAGGGTCAGTATTTGCAGTCATGGAAATGACATATTTGAGGAGCTGCAAAGACAGTGGTCAAGACTCTGTCGAGGGGCCATTTGTCAAATTGGTTAAAGATCTTGGGTGAATACAGTCACAAAGTGATAGATAGGGTCATAGAGTCATACAACATAGAACAGGCCCTTCTGCTCACTGTGCCTATACCGATCAACAAACATCAAGCTGCACTAATTCCATTTACCTACACTTGATGCCCTGGCATTTTAAATGCTTGCCCAGATGCTTCTTAAATGATGCAAGTCCACTATCCTCTCACGTAATGCATTCCATATTTCTCCTACCTTCTGGGTGAAAAGATATTTCCTCAGATGTCTTCTAGGGCACTTAATCCTGACATTAAACCTGCAGCGTCTGGTCTCAGATATGTGGGGGGAGCAAAGATTCTCATGATCTCTGCCTCTAATGTTGTGCATCCATCAGATCCCCCTCAGCCTCCTGTGCTCTCAAGGAAAACAAACCCAGCCTATCCAGTGTTTTCTCATAACTGAGACTTTTTTATCCCAGACAACATCCTGGTAAATCTTCTCTGCATCTTCTCCGGTGCAGTTACCTCCTTCCGATAGTGTGGCAGCCGTATTCCGTCTGTGGCCGAGCCAGTGTTTTATATAGTTGTAAAAAGACTTCCTTGCTCCTATATTCTATGCCTCGTCTAATGAAGACAAGCATCCCGTATGGCACCTTCACCACCCTGTCTATCTGTGCTGACACCTTAGGTGGTCCATGATCTTGTACACCAAGGTCCCTTTGTTCTTCAGTATTCCGTAGAACGTACCATTCGTTGTGAATATTCTTCCCTTATTGGATCCTCCAAAGTGCTTCACCTCACACTTATCAGGATTAAACTCTATCTGCCATTGCTTTGCTGAATTTGCCAGCTGATCAATATCAGACTGTAGCCTGAGACCATCCTTCTCACTATCAACAATACCACCAATTTTTGCATTGGCTTACTTACTAATTATACCTTTTTATATTCACATTCAAGTCATTAACGTACATAACAAAAAGCAAGGGTCCCAGCACCAATCCCTATGATACACCACTGGCTGGTCACAGGCTTTCAATTACAAAACAACTCTCCACCAACATCCTTTGCCCCATTTGGAAACCAATTTTGAATCCAGATTGTCAACTTGATTTGGAACCCATAGGCTCTTAACTTTTGGATCAGCCTTCCAGAGGGGACCTTGTCAAAGGCCTTACTGAAGTCCATGTAAACCACAGCTATATGCTAAATGATCATGTTGCATGGCAGAGCAGGCTCAAGGGGCTGAATTGCCTACTTTTGGTCCTTATTCTTCTGTTCCTAACATTTAGTCTTGGATCCATTCATGGATCATTAAGGAGGATGAAATGGGGATCTGTATGGGCAGCTGGGGGAACACTGCCAAAAGGGCTAGTGGTGTCAAAGCTAGGGGAGGGAGAGAAACAGGGGCATTTGTTGTGGTGGGTCAATGATGATGATATGGGTGAACTCGAAGTGTAAGGGAGCATGCAGAATAGTATCAGAGGACATGGTGGATGATGATTGCGCGAGTTATTCGCAGTGACCACTACAGGAGGCAATGCTAGATGACTTGAAGCATGGTGCATGGAGGACATGTGGAGCAAAGTTCAATGTGGTGTGTTTCTACACTGGGGCCATGAGTTCAAATGTGCTGTTAGGGTAGAGTGGGGTTACCTGTTTACAAGGCAGACTGGTATTGACAGTGTCCACAATGAGTTGCATTCTTTGCCATTGCTTTCCATTCTCAAGATGCAAAGCGTAACAGAAAAATGGTTGGAACAACATCAAGGGAGGGTGAAGTCAGTGTTACTCTGACAGGCCAAAATGATGGATCCACATCTGCTGGCTGCTAGGACATTGAAGGTGCAAAAAATGAGTTTGGAAACTAGCTAATTTTTATTTGTAATTATTTCTTCATCCTTTTACAATGCACGTAGAATGAACACGCTTAGGCATCAAATACTAATCAAGAGTGAATTGCACCATGCCACTGGCACTTGGAAATCAAACATTGTCATCGCAGTGATGCAGGAGTTAGCAGCATTGACCTAAAAAGAGGAAATTACTGGTCAAAAACATTTCGTTACCTGTGAAGCTTCCAATAATTCTGTGGGATGAGGGGAACAGCACTGCATCATATCTCGTCTATGACCACAGACTGTACTGAATGCGGTGACAAGGTTCATTGTTGATATTGCTCTGGGATTTGAAGTATAAAAATTGTCCTTTGCTGGAGTAGTCGAATTGAAATGAGAAGAAAAAAAAATGAAATTAGCCATCGTGAAAATGTGATAACCATCAGGTTCATTACCTAATGATTAAAAAGGTCTCTGGTCTTAAAGTATTTCTGTGTCTGAATGAATGTGTGTTTGGATTAAGTGCTGTAATCCAACAGTAATGAGCTAAACTGTAACTCTGAAAGGCTGGAGTCCTGTATTGAAAGATACCCACTGAATCAAATATAATAATGTGGACTACTTATCAGCGAAACGGAGAGTTTGATTGTAGAGTTGTGGTGTGTTGGATGACATAAAGGTAACAAAATTAAGCAAGCAATAGCAGAGGTCAAAATTCGTTAAAACCAAGAGATAAGCCTATTTCCAACAGAAACAAGCAAGTCTTAATGAGCAGTTCATCAAATCAGGTGCAGTGATCACATATTTGTGATGTTTGCCAATGGCGAAACTGATCAGTTGCTGGAGACTGGACAATATCAATGGCTGAACACACAGTTCCGTACTTGTCTGTATGGAAAAAGTTTACAAGATAGCTTGCCTCAGAGTATAATTAGCGAGCTGGAGGAGATCATCTGAACAATGGTTGGAAGTTGAGATGGAATGTGCTGATCACCTGTTTTAATCTGATCTTTGGACAAGCCCACAAATTGTGATTGTAAGCTGTGTATGGATAAGATATTTTAGAGTATTTTTGTAGCATACTTTGCTCTAATAAAGAGAATCCTGTTTTTAGAACTTCCTTGAGTTCTTGATGTCCAGAATAAACCCGACAGACCCAGAAATGTATGAATAAAAGTCTACAAAAGGGGTCAGAACACAGCAGGCACTCACTTTTTGATATAAGTTGGTGCGCATGCGTTGACTGGGGCCATGACAATTAGAACAGGCAAGGCAGACTGAACCATGTTAAGGAAATGGGAACAGTCAACTCAGGACAAGGACATTGAACTGAAGGAAGCTCACCTTGCTCATGACAGAGCTTAGCTGCACGGGGTGCTATAAGCAAGATAGGATCAGATTGACACCTAGTTTCAATAGATGTGAGTTGGGTTTGGAAGACTTATAATGAACTGTCAAGTACTTACTAATCATGAAGCAGGCATTTGGTTTGCATTGTGGGGCAAACTGCAGCCTCTGTTTGTTTCATTTGTGTTCACATTTGGTGACTGTCAATAACAGCTTATTTTGGCATTGTCTGATTGCTTGCCTGTATGTGATGTTTCTCTCCTGGACAATGACAACATTGGGTGACCAGTCAGCATTGGAGACAAAGTATCTGAGACTTTGAGGGAGAGTTTAGATGGAATGTAGCTAAGAACAGGTAAACTGTTAGTTAAAAAGCTACTCGAATCAGGGTTGTATAAGTTACGGAGTGTTAGCCATGCTGACTATGAGCAGTGAGCAATGTGGCTGTGTGGCTGTTGTGCCATTATGTTGCCATTGAGGTGCAACACCAGACTGTCACTGCTTGTCCAATTGCAAAGCAGCTCTTTAAAAATGGTACGGGTGCAAGGGATGCCGTTCTTTCAGTGAGTCGTGAGTTGTTCCAGGATTGGCACATGGTAAGGTGAGGATAGAATCAGACATGCCAGATGCTAAAGGGGCTTAGGTTGTTAATGAAGTGCGTTTGTAAGGTATTGTGAGAAATCTTACTGGGTCTCACAGTGAGAATCGATCCAAATAACTCAACGCAGTTTGCACTTAGCCAAAAAGCATAAGATTCAGCCCAATGAGACTTCATTCCTTATTATTACTATCCATTTGAAATTTAAAGATGGACAGCTGTGTTACTAGGCCACAGGTAATCAACCAGCTGGACTGGGAAGGATTTCTGGGTCCAGATATTAGTGCATTTTTACATATTGTGCCTGTCTCTTCAACACTTTAGGGGACATCCTCTCCCCTAACACCACCCTTGGCATCTAATATTCCCTGACACTACCAACTTCCCATCCCAGATGGTATTAGGTAAGTTAAAAAAGTTCTTGTTTAAAACTGACCCCTGAGCTCTAATGCAGTTCTCCATTTTTCTTCTGCAGAATGTTATTACCTAATAGTTATTGAAAATGCTTTAGATGATTTAAAAAAAACACAAAATTAGACCATCTGCATCATCAAAGGAATTGACTTACCAGACCAGGATTAATCATGGTATTTTTGACTTCAGTGTGTTTCATTCTTACATTGGGTGTCTGAAGGGTTTTTCATTTCTCAGTATTCGTGCCCCTCCATTTGATGAGTTCAAAATGCATTAGACATGTTTTTTTTAAATGTCTTCAATTGTAAATCGATTAAATGATCCTTCAGTTGCCTTCTATCAAGTGTGAATGAATAAAGTTGGCACATCTGAGCTCGAGGTCAATTTATTCAACTGCATTTGGTAAACAATGGCATTTTTTTCCCCCCAGAGAACCAGACAGTACTTACTTTGATATCCCACAAACCAACCTCTCTGGCAGCAATGAGGCTGTGCCAAACTTACCGCAGAACCGAACCGAAGTGTGCATGGACGTCTTTCAGATGAGAGATATGAGTGATTCTGTGATGGTGAGTGTGGTTACACTTTCTTCTTTTGGTTCGTTTTGTTTGTTGATGAAATACTAATCAAAATAGATTAGGCAATGGAGGAGCTGTCTGATAATTAAATACTGATTTTCCTGTATTATAGTCATTCGTAAGCACAGAAGTAATAACTTATTTTTTGGAATTTTTCGTAGTTAATTACAATGTGTTATTTGTATGAAAATGCTGAGATGGATCTCAGCAAGAATGAGCAATTTTAATTTTGTTTGAGTGATATAGGCATCAAAACTGATACGTAGCATCAAATGACTTTTTTTTTTCACTTTTTTCCCTGTAATGGTTTTCAACACTTTTTTCTCCAAACACACTGACTGTTGCTGAGGATGAGCACAAAAGTACCAGATACCCGTTAGTACTTCACCCAAGTAGTTATTCTACTTAACAATGTGAGCAGAGGGGGCAGGTGGCAAGGGGGATTAGTGGTGACTGTATACAATCTTCTCATGTGATATCACATGGACTGTACCAAGAGTCGACAGTAAAATAATGAAGAATGGCTGATTTGATTTCCCTTTTCTAGTTCTTAACACCAAGATCGCTTTTAAACTCTCAATTGCAACCTTGACTGAGATGAATAACTGCGTCACCACAGTTCAATCTGGACCTTTTGTAGCATTTATGGCTCAGCTTCCTAATAGGATTCAAGTTTACCAACTGAGCCCTTAGAAATCCAAAAATCCAAAAGGTTCTTCACCTTTAACACACACACATAACATGCCTGTCTTGCTCGTAGATAAACATGAATGTGCCCACAGACACACTGAACTAGGCAAACGTGTGGGTGATAGCGTATACACTCGCTAAAATGGCAAGATGATCATGTTGGGTAATTTATTGTCAAGTTCAATGTTTAGAATGGGACACTCCGCAAATTTCATCAAAGGTTACTATATTCTTGGTACAGCATGATAAAATTGTGCTGCCACAGATGTATGAGCTGAATTTCCTCCTCCATCCCCACCTCAAAACCAACTTGATGCAAGAAACAGATACAGAGTAGTGGGAGAAAGTTTTGGTGTCTGGTAGCCAGCCTGAGGGAAGGTTTGGTGAAAGAGCAGCTTGTGAGGAATTCCTCTTCATACACATGCACCCACTACCTTCACAACAGTGGTGACCTGAATTTTTTTTTCTCTTTGTTTTCACTTAGTAATTTTAAACCGTGGCTGTGAGGGTACCTTGTTGAAGTGCTCTTCCAAAACTTAACCGTGTACTGCAATTGAGCGCTTGTCTGAAACTGAAAGGCCTTGAATTTCAACAGCTTTAACAGCCTGCTGCCTGCCATCCTTAATCAGACATGGAAACCCTTGCCATGCCAATTTAGGACATACTTGGGTGAAAATCTTAACTTTAGTCAATTTCTTTCTGAAGGAACATTCCTGACCTGATAACAAATATGGCTTCTGTTTCCTGCCTCCATAATAAAAACTTAGTCCAATACCAGATGTATCCAAAGTTTCTGAATGGCTCTGATCATCCTTTCGCTTGCTGTTCATGCATCTTGCTGTGTGTCAAATTGGCTGCAGTTTTGTCTACAGAATACAAGTGACCCACTCTGAGACATTCTGGAGACGTGAAACATGCTACATAAATGCAATTGTTTATTTCTACATAAAATACATGGGAAACATTAACTTCAGAAGCAATGTCTGCATATCAAGTAATCATGGTTTGATGTAGGCAAGCAGCCATTATATTCATTATGTTAAGACAGTACGAGTTATCACATTCTTCCCTTTTGAGGTATTGCACAACTCTAAAAAAAAAATCTCAAAGGTATAGATTGGAAGGCCGAGGCATCATCTGTTCTAATTATCCATTCCTATCAGTGGTACTACTATTACTACTGGAAGTAATAGATGCAAACAGTAGCCTGGGCACAGTTTAGCACTCACTAAGAAGAGGCAAAGGGCTCTTGAAATATGATGGTGATGTTATTTATATTATAAACTTTATATACATGCGACTTGCTGTGTTATTCTTGTTCACCTGAATTTCATTGGGATTTATTTAATCTTCCACTGTAGCTGAATAGATGATCAGCAGAACTCCCAGGAAACAGGTCTTTATACTATTTCTCCAGCATTTCCAGCAATATTTCACCGAAATTACAATATCAAGGGAACCGCACCACCCCCCTCCCCCCTCCACCGCAGAGCAATTATTCTTTATTATCTGCTGCCATTTATTGTTTTAAAAAGCAAGAGTCAATTCTTACTTCTGGCAACCACTTAATTTGAATATTTAAAGAGTGCTCAAACTACATTTTGTGTTGTCTTTCAATTTCTAGCTTCTTGGCTGAGTGTGATTATTCAGGTCATGAGTTCTAGCCCCACTGAGTACATGAAAACATAATCTAGGTGACCCTTCAGTGCAGTACTGATCAAGTACAGTGTTATTGATGGTGTCATCTTCAGGTAAGTCATTAAACAAAGGCCCCATTGCCTGCTCAGGTGGACATAAAAGATCCTGTGGCATAATCTGAAGACTAGCAAGGAGTTTCTCTTGAATGTTCCTGACCAACGTTCTTCCTTTTACTTCAAATCTTAATTCATTAAGATATACTAAGCGTAAAGTAAGTGCTCAGTCTTCCTTTCAAAGTCAGAATTACAACAGACTCTCAAGTTTATTAAGTACATCTGATAGCAAACTCATGCCTCATTGTTTAAATAGTGAAGTTTATGTGATTTTTTGGACTGTATCTTTCTAATTGTGAAAGAGTTATAATTTGCAGAGTTTATCTTTAAATTTTGGGTAAATGGAAGGGATAATGTGGTCTGCGCTGGGGTCTATCTCACTAAATGGTAATCAGTAAGGATCAAAGAGAAATCTCAAATTGTGTTCCTGAAAAGGAGTAGGCCAATATTTACATTTGAAGATCACAGCTGTTATAATGTCCACAGTCAGAAGATTTTAAGTCTCCTGAAACCAAAAAATTATTACCAGTATCAAGATTGTGAACAGTTATGCTGAAACTTGCCCTTTTGTTCCTAAGATGAAAGACTGTTGTGGTCAGAGATAACTAATTAACTAATTAACATTTCCACTCGAAGATAGGCTAATGTGTTTCCCAATGCTTTGGAGAAGGGGAAAGTGATGTTATTCATTGCATATAGGTGTCACCAGCTGAGCCAACATTTGTTGCCCATTCCTATTTGTCCTTTGAACCAAGTGGTTTGCTAGGGGCAGTTAAAAGTCAACCACATTGCAGTGAGCATGGAGACACATATATGCCAGACCAGGAAAAGATGACAGATTTCATTAACTAAAGGATGTTTAGTGAACCAGGTGGAATTTTATGACAGTTGAAATGCTGGCATGTTACCATTAGGCCAGTTTTTAATTCCAGATATTGACTACAAATTTAGTCATCTTCCATAGCAGGATGATCCATGTCCTCCAAATATTAGCCTGGATTCTGGATTACTAACCTAGTGGTGGGTCATATTAGCTCAGTTAGCTGAATGGTTGCTTTGCAAAGCAGAGTGATGCCAACAGCATGCGTTCAATTCCCATCGCAAGCTAAGATTGACATGAAAGACTCTCCTTCTCAACTTTTCCCCTTGCCTGAGTATGGTAGCCTGAGGTATGATCACCACCAGTCATCTCTCTGTTATGAGAGAGCAGCCCTATGGTCTGGTAAAACTATGGTGACTTGACTTGACTAGCCCAGTGTCATTATCACTGTGTCACTGCCTCCCTTTACAGGCTTGCCTGTAAACCATGGAATATCACCACAGATGCAGTTGCAGCTTTGGCCTTATGTAGTTTGCAGCCCATTAAGGGACCGCAATAGATAATAACCATATTTTTACCTTAAGCAGACAAAGTTTCAACCTTATAATTCACCTTATGGAATGCAGACATGAGCTTGTGTTGTTTTTAGAGACAGAGGTCACGAGGGAACAGAGGCTGAAAAATTTGCCAGGCTTGGACTTAGAGGAAGAAAACTATAGTAACTATCATCGTGAAAGGCAGTTGGCCAGTAGGTAGACTGGAGATAAGCAGCCTCTGGGCATAGAGAGGATAGAGGCCATTAGGAACCAGGTGTTTTTGATTTTGAAACCACTAAGTAGAAGTGCAGTGATGCCTAAGCTTGAGCTGAGAGCACCAGTGTGAGCTTTTTGAAGGAATCTTCAAGGAGTGCTTCACCAATAGGTTGCAGAAGGATCCCCATCAAATCTCATTCTGCGGAATAGCTGGAACACAGGAAATTGAAGTCAATTCCAGAGAGCTGTGGCATGCTTAATTTGAACCCAGAAAGAGAGGGAAATGAATCCTTGAAAGCTTATAGTAGGTAAGAGAATCCTTTACAGTTTTTCACTCCCTTAAGCAGTGTGGTCAATCACCAGAAAATTACGAAAACGTAGCAAAAATGAAAGAATGAGAGTCTGGTTGTCAGAAAAAAATTCTAATTTTTGCCTTAAGGTTTAAACAGCTAGTTCAGAATTTCACTAATGAGGAGTGACTACCTTATTTCCGTGGATTAGCATTTTGTTAATAGCCTAATTCACTTCACTTCTGTGCAGCTTCCTTCCTCTCCCTCTGCAAAACTGGACAGTACCAATTCCCAATTTGTAATTCAGCAGTTACCAAGTGACAACGCCTTCCTGTTTGCTCCTCCTAGCCTTCATCCAGTTCCATCTCATCACAATATCTTTGCATACTCCACTCCTCGTCCACACAAGTCGGCATCAGCAAACCATATCACCACGCCTGCTTTCAGACCAATTCACACACTACTTCAATCGTTCAGGACTTCACTTTGGAACTCAGGAGCACTAATGGTTTGCATGCTTCTGCAAAGTCCTTTTGTGCACAAGGACTCGCATGCATCTACGTAGGATGCATCTTTTGGGTTCTCATTTTCATTTCTTAGCCCTCACTCACGTTGTAGTTACTTTGATGCTGTTGCCCGCTGGCTTGCATTGCGTTTTGTTGCAAAGGGCTTTCAGTGCTAAGTTACA